TACGAAATTAATTTTGTAAAAAACCCTATTGCCGCAGAATCGGTAACAAATGGCAAATGATGAGGATTCTGTTATATATTTAAAACCGGTAAACAATTCACAGTATTCAGGGCAGTTATTAGTAGTTATACGTCGTTTCATAAATTTTGCACGTTATCAATTAACTTTTTTTTTATTTCGCGCTCACGCCACTTCGCCTTTAATATTCAATAACCGGTCACATCGTAATTCAGATATTAGCGACTATATAGCCCGGGGCAATGGCAGGAACGTGTTCCGCATGCGTAGCAGCGTCAGCAGTACATGCTGGTCTTCACTCGAGATGTAGGACCCGGGTTTTAAAAATCAATTTACGTAGTGTGGTTTTGAACATAAAAGTAAATGGCGACTGTAATAGGAATGAGTCGACGGCGAAGGGAAAAAATAAGATACAGATGAAGAAAAAGACATGTGAGATTTAAGAACACAACAGAAATTAAGTCTTCAGACCAGTTTATAGGTAACTCGAGGTAAAACTTGTTTTCATCAACATGATATTCTGTGGAAATCCTGAGATTTTGTCACAATCAAAACATTGGTTTTATCAGTTTCAAACCTTTCGACTTTTCTCATGGCTTTTTCGGAGCTTTATATATTAGCACATTCAACATTACCACGTTTCTTTTGTCAAGTATGAGTTATAGTGTGTTGTACTTACGTACGCAGTCATGTGGTCACTGTTTCGTACTTACATATACGTACGCGTCCACCACTCATAAAAAGAAGAAACGGCATCAGTTTCAAAATAATGTTCTCATTGTTAGAAAATCTCAAATCTTTCACTTAATATTACATCTGAGGTACAACCAGATTTCAAACACACTGAAGAATTTCCTCACAATCTCCTCCTCCAACTTGCTCTATACCTTCTGTCATACTTATCTTTACCGCACATTAGAACATGTATTTGGGCAGAATTTATACATTTAGTGCTGCTTCAAAGTCACCTTCCATACCAGCGCTTATGTCAGACTATCCCGTCTGTAATAATCTGTAATAGTCAATCGCGCAGCCATTTTTGACCGTATGGATGCCAAAGATGTTATTAAAATTATAGTTTTGTCGAATTTGGGGACAATACATCTCGTTACGGAAAGTACCATAGCGACTATCCTCCATTTCTCAGCCTTTGATTTTTTAACACCTTGAGATAATTTAGTTTTCCAGTCACGGAATTAATCTAATTGCATAACACGCACGTATGCATAAAAATAAATGATTTTTCATGTCTGGCAATCTAGGTTACTGTTTGCCAGGGTTTTATTTTCTTTCATTGCTCTTCGAATTAAGATTCTGGTTTTCGGAAAAAACTAAGTATATTGTTTTATAATCAAGGACTCATCTGTATATGTTTCTATGACACACTTCCGCCAAAATTAAGATAATTGTACTAACGTACTCGCCAGATCGGTTATTACATTCTGTAGTATTGAAATGTTGGTGTAACAAATGACGCTGTACTACGAAAACATTTGTCCTTTACTCTGTGGCGAGAGATGGAGCATTGAAATTTTTTTTTCCCTGAATGAACTCGATGTGGTGTAGGATTACCTACCGCCGAATCTTTGAATATATTATAAATATATTAAACTTCACTATATTATACTATTCTATACAATATGTTGTACTATATTAAGGAATTAATAATAGCAATATCTGCAAGCAGAGGTACATTTGTATTTCATAGAGCTGTACTATACAAAGACAAAAATTAAGGATTTGGTACAAAAAAAAGTAGAAAATGGTGAACTAGCAGTGCTACAAGTATAACAGCACGTACTTACTAGCATGACTTGTAACGGTTAAGAAATATTATAATACAACAAGTTTTTCCAAACAGCAAAAATGTTCTCCTAACTTGAATATGAAATCAGGTATTTCGATTTAGCACGCCATACATGTTATCTCAACACCACTATTTTCAGAAATAAAACAATCTTTTCGACACTATACAAAGTTGAAAATTTTAATTTTCAATTTTCGAAAATTCGGAGATTTTAATGATAATTTAAGATGGAATTTTGAAGAACAGATTTTAATCAGAAAAATATATCTTCAATATTGTGGATGTAGGATGTCGCAGAAAAAAAATTGTTGTAATTTTCTAAAAATCGAAGAATTCAACAAAAGTCGGATTTGTCCATTTTATAAGCTTATTTGGTCTATCGAGAAAAAAATTAAAAATTAGAGCCATTTATGAGAACATTTTGACGCTTCGTGCAAAGTACCCCCTCAAAATATTTGTTTCAGATTCGCATGGCACCGAGTTCGGCAAGATCGATTGGGGAATATCAATTTCGGCGAAACAATTACGGATAGGACAATTAGTGAAAATATTACTCATTAGGCGCTTCTGTTGACCACATATAGGCCTGCGGACGGACATGCGAACACACACGTTTTACCGTCAGAAGATTTTGCGGTTTCAAGTACCGACAACACGAGGATAATGAGTATATAACGCGTTAGAGGAAGCAATTTATTACAGAGAAGAACAAGATTTATTCACTTTTTCGATATCATGGTTCCAAAATATGAGTTGTTTTGTCAAGAAGTCACAATTTCTCGCTGCAGGATTATACTTTCGCTTTACTACGTTGGTACATTGGTAAGAAAACAAAAAAGGAGGAGAAGAGGAAGAATACGGCACGTCCGAGCGCCCGGAAGCAAGTCACCTGCTGTCGGAAGCGCTGGATGGCGGACGGGTAGGCGTGCACGGCGCGCAGCCGGGCGGCGGCCTGCGCCAGCGTGTCCAGCGGCCGCTCGGAGCGCGGCACGGCGATGCGGCCGGCGAACGAGCCCGTGAAGGCGTTCAGCAGCACCACGCCCAGCCACGCGGCCAGCAGCCCCAGCAGGGCGCCCGCGCGCCCGCCCGCCGCGCCCGAGCCGCCCGCGCCGCCCGCGCGGAACGCGCCCGTCAGGAACGCCTCGCACAAGCATCCGTTCATTAGTTGAAGCGATTGATTGTCTCCGGGTGCATCATCGGCTATCCCCCGCTGGATGCTGACATCCAGCATACCGGCCTACACGCCGGCTTGCGAAGATTTCCCCTCAAGGTATCTCCCAGCGGGGCGCCGTCTTCCGGTGGGATAAGCTCTTAGTTGCCGACTAGTCTCTCGACATGTTCGTGTCCAGGCAGTGGCGAATTTTCGACTTAGCTAGATCTAATTCAGGTACCGTCGCGAGGAGCATTGCATCATGCATGATCGGTGGTTATCCGTGTTGTTTTTCGACCAATTCCAGGCGAATGCCGGAGTAGTACCTTGACAAACGGGTCACGGGCCGCGCACGATCTTCCTTTAATCATCCTTCTCTCCCTAATACACACACGTACTTGCACTACACTACCATAGATGTCGGGTGAATAGTTGGGAAACCAGAGCTTGTCCCACTAGGGTAGATACTACGCACAATGTAAAACCTTCATGTGGATCGCTACCAGATCTTCACGTTTTCAAAGGAGGGGACGGAAAACCGCCGGGGTACAACATAACATCACACGTACGGGACTAATGACCTAACTAAAGAGTAGGCTTCTCCGCAGGCCTTATCAGTACTGTCGCCGGAGACCCGCGTGTAGGGCATGGTTGCTTACGTTTCCGCGCCATAGTGCGGCCTTGTACTGCAACCTTTGTGGGTAGCTTGTGGAATAAATGCAATGGTCGGGGTTATGAAAAAGACTATTGACTACTCTCGAAAGATGGGGTGTGGCTGACAGGTGAGTCTATACCGGTAACGGAAAACCATCCAGCATCCCAAAAGCGAATGCTGAGCAATGCCTACTTGGACTGAAAACCTTTCAATTTTTTGCCGATGCCAAAGTCGCGGTCCCAGATGCAGTTTCCACCATCTTCCTGACGTCCGACAACGGCGGTCACCTCCCGCCACGCCCAGGGAACCGTTGCCTGATTGGTAAGATGGTGATTGTTTTCATCGCATTGATTGATGCGTCCGACCAACCGTCAGCCGGGTGGTGTGCAACTTCTTTCTATACTAGCCCGCTAAGGCAGTTTCACTTCCGCAATTGGGAGGCAAAATGTCGCGGCGCGTCTTCTTGACGAAAGTCGGCGCGTGGCGAACAGCAAGGTTGTATTTAAAGCTATGTACATTGTGCAGTGAATTGTGAAATGAGTTGAGTGAATGTGTTCTCTAATAAACATAATGTATGAGTGAATGTGAGTATAAAAGAAAAAAGAAGAACAGCGATTTTTAAAAAGAACTTTTCCAACCACAATCAATTTTCACTTTGTTAAACTATAATACGCCTAAAGCAGCTATTGTCAAATAGTTTTAAGTTAGACATACTGTAGTTGTAGATACTTTATTTAAGATTAAAACCCTCCCCATACCACAGAAGACTAATCGGCTATAATAGTGAAACATAACCCACGCAATTGAATAAACTGCCATCTATCGAGAGTTGCTGGAAAGAGGAAATATGAAAAACGACCACCGCGTATTTTGCCCTGACAAAGGTCGCAGTAAGGTGTCCAAAACGTTGGCAATTATGTCTAGTACGCAGCGTCTCCTGAACACCTAATTGTCTAATGACCTAACTAATTGACATGCCCGGAATGAATACTCACGCACTTCCCTTTCTCGCGTTTGGCAGACACGACCGCGACAGCGCATGGTTGTGCGCGCTGAGGAAGGGGCGTTTCTCTACATGGGCAACTACTCCGCGCAGTACTCAGTTTTATCAGAGGGCCCAAGTCCCCGGGAGGGGCACCTATGGCTTTTCACCTTTAACCGCACCCCCCCCCCCCGCCGGCTCACGAGTACGCCGCCAGTCTGGTATCCTGATGCCGCCTAGGGATTGCCTCCAAGGCAACTCCCCATTCGATACCTGGGTGTGGCCGCCCTGCCAGCTCCGAGCTACCACCTATCTAGGCTAGAACCGGAGTCCGGGTACCGCGCTCCTCCCACGCGCGTACCTGGAAGGCGTCGAGGGCGGCGCCGACGAGCGAGCGGCGGCCGGCGAGGCGCAGGGCGCCCGCCAGGGCGAGCAGCGCGCCGCCGGCCGCCGCCCACGCGCCGGGCTCGAACACGACCAGCAGCGCCTGCAGCAGCGGTTGGCGGCCTGCGCGCCGCACCAGCAGGCACAGCGCCTCCGCGTGGTCCGGGAACAGGAAGTCGCAGCAGGCACCGCTCGCGCGGAACCCCGTCGCCTGCGCAGCGCAGCGGTTTCCAATTATGGAGGAGTCTGTCTTTGGAATGAAGGATTTGCTCAGATCGCGTCTCCCTTCCCTGCACATGTGTTAATTGACTGATGTTTGCGGTCGCGTCAACGTTTATAGTCATTAGTACACTTTGTGTGGTGAATGTTTGATCCCGGGAGTTGCGGTGTTCCACCCCACTTGAGAATGAGATCCGGCGCCGGCTTATAAGTCGGCGTAACGCCCCAGCCGGGACAAGCTTTAAGCTCCAAACTGGTCTACAGCCAAATTTGTGTGTGGGTTCGCCCGAGGGTCGTATCCCGTTTGTTAGAGTACTGCTCCGGTATTTTCCAGGTACTGATCGGAAAAACCACGGAAAACTACCCATCAGAATAGCAGTCAGCAAGATTACATCTCCAGACAGCGGCTGAATTCGACCCAGCGACGTGTATAGCTAAAGTCAATAATCCGCTAACGTAGGGACTGGAACTCAGAACATTGCGTTCAGAGTAGTTACAGACAAACCGGCAATGCTGGCTCTGAGCTACGTCAGTCGCCACCCCCTTGACTTACGACATGATTAGGCAACACTTCCAGCCAACCAGCAAGAATTTATAAAAGGTTTTTGCTAAGATCTCTCATATACAATGAGATATGCTCGGCTCTTCATACGGTGAAATCGGACAGAGAGAAATTTCATTATAATCAACAGATGTCACTGGTCCTAACCCACATGCGTATTTAATACCTACGCAGTTCAAGATTCGGTTATAATGAACTCTCAACATCGGTTTTAGTGAACCATGCTAAATCAAACAATTCAGTTTAATAGTTTTTGTGATAAACATTATAAAACTGAAGAAAACTATTAAAAATCAATATATTAATTTGGGATCGATATCAAAAATATTATTTATTCAGATACCTTAATGAAAGAGCATGGTTTTGTACCTGAAAGTATTTCCAACAAATCCCAGAAGAAATTGATAAACATCTTTAACATTATTTGAGTTATCACGGAAAAACTAAGTCATTGAATTCAAAACTGGTTGAATTTTGACTTTTTCAAAAAACAACAAAGATTTTTCCGTGCAGAAGAAATATATTTCTGTGTGTCAGTTCATTTTCACTGCTGTGGAGTATGATTTTAATGGAGAAAAAAGTTGAAAAGTAGTAAAAATGTAACTGCTGTAAGCTGTATCTACCTCCTTAATATGTTATCTTTAAATTAACCAAGTTTCTACGTTTATGAAGATTAAAAGCACAATTGGACGGCCTGGTGGTGACCTCTGAGAAAATTTGATCTACATCAGAGAAAGGATAAAGGGTGCAGAAAGAATACACAAATAAAAGAAGAAATAAAGGGAGACAGACAGAGATGGAAAGACCTAGTACGTGACGTTGAAAGTCAAGCTAAAAAGGAGAAAAAATATTTTGTAAGGTACGTTGTATAAAACGTGTTAAGGAGGAAAGAAAAAAAGATTTGGAGCGAGTAAAGAGGACGACAGAAATAAGAAAAGATAATATGAAAAATAGATAAAATCTATATTGCGAACATCTCTCTTGGGATGTAAAACAAGGATGAGCCCTATGTGTCATTTTTAATGAAAGTAGAATATGAGGCTATTAAAGTTATAATGGAAAAGTACTTAAGAGACGAGACGAAAGATGAAACTGGGGAACATGATGTCCCACCGAGGTGGTACCACTAACTTCAATATTCATTAAATTATCACGCTTATATTGTCACGTTCATTATAACCTTATTATTCACATTTTTTTTTTTTTTTTTTTTTGTTTTTGCTTACCTACAGCTAAAGTGATATTAAGTGTTGAGTATTCAATATTATAATGCGAGTTATTTGACCGGACTCATTGTATTTTATCGGACTTAGAGAAATATTAGTGGATCTCAACTAAGCAGCAATGGGAGAGAAAGAAGTTAACAAAAGTATTGGATGGATGTAATTTAAAGGACAAACGTCTTATTGTAGTGTATACAATAAAATATCAAAATATTCAGGCACATTTTGTGTAATGACGAATAATAACGAGTAACGATAATGACAAGTAATAATGAGTTTCTAAAAATGCAGAATTTCGAGCTAGTCTTCACAGAAAACGGTTGAGTTTTCGAGAAACTTTGTATGACATTATTTACAGCACATGTACTCATAAATAATAATAATAATAATAATAATAATAATAATAATAATAATAATAATAATAATAATAATAATGATAACGTGAATAATTCGCCGCTAGTATAAATATTAACGACGTGAAGAACAAGTAGAAAAAATTACATTTTTGTAATATTTGAAATAACAACAGACTAGAGAAACTGATGATTATGTTACATTACATTGTACAATGAGCACTATCCCTAACAAAAGTTTAAAGAATAAATGTTGAGCCGTTTTTTGAGAAAATATTGCTTTGTTATTTTTTTAAATTGCACATATTGCTTGCAATATTGCGCGAAAACTACTAAAATTTTCAAAAAAATGTACATGCCAATGAAAGAACTCACTAAAGAGACACATTTTATTTGAAGGAAAAATTTCTATTTTCAAGTTTGTAGTTGTAGGAAGACGCTTGAACATTTTCCAAATTTTGAAATTTAGTAACGTCCGAAAATCGGACCCATGCCACCTTTATGAGTGTACTTTGGTTTATTTTTACAAGAAAATAAAAGAAAAAATTGAAAATATCCGCGGGCTTGATGTAAAGTACCCGCAAATTTTGAAGAAAGTTTTTCAAAACCGCAATGACTCGAGTCGAGCCAGATCGACAGTGGAATATCCTTTTTAGAAAACAATCCTACATAATGTTTAGGCGCTACTGGTGTTCACGGACAGACAGACCGACAGACAGACGGACGTACAGACGGACGGCTAGACGGACGGACAGGCGGACGGAAGGACAGACAGACGGACGGACGGACAGACAGACGGACGGAGAAACAGACGGACGGACGGAGAAACAGACGGACGGACGGAGAAACAGACGGACGGACAGACAGACAGACGGACAGACGGACAGACGGACGGACAGATGGACGGACAGACAGAAGGATTGACGTAGAGACAGACAGATAGAAAGACGGACAGAGGGAGAGACAGACGGACGGTCATTTTGAAAAAAAACACTTTACAGTAATAGAGAACCCCAAAACGTGCATTTCCGTTAAAATCTCTAAATCAATTTTCAGCAGTATTACATAGCTCTCCCCAGTCTACGTATATTACTCAGTACATACGTATGTATACGGGAAACTAAAAATAGACGAAACGAAAAATGGGAAGAAACTAATTGTTTTTGCGGTAAAATTGCAAAGCAAAATTGATGCCATTGAAAGAAAATAAGAGACTAATAATTAAGAAACAGATTTTTTGGCAAACATATTTTATATACATTTCTCTAGACTTACATGACTTGGAAAAAAGGTGTTTTGCGTCACCCCGGATAGAAAAAAGTTTAATTTTATTACGGTTTTGTCAACCTTATATTTTCGCAACTTGAGAATTGAAATAATTTATTTTTGTTTTAACTGCATGTCTTTGTCTCAACTACATATTTCCGAATATTATTTGGAGTTATTCTTTTCTCTGAGTTTGCGCTCCAACAATATGTATTCTGGCGATGAATGTACTAGTAATTTTTAAGGCATCATTCATCTGCGAGTGCATTCCAGGTAATAGATAGAGATATTTATCTTATATCGTGTACACGACTGGAGTGCAATGCAGCAACAAATCACAATATTTGCACTGAGTTGGGACAAGTTCGGATAGGTTAGGATGATTTGGATTAGAATGGTTTCGAGTTCGGTAGGGCTCAATTGCTCCATTGAATTGAGTTGAGTTAGGTAACACCGGGTTGGGTAAAGATGAGTTCGGTTGGGAAAAGTTGTTCGGATTGCGCTTGATTCAGAGGACTCAAATCGATTCCCCTGAATTCAGTTCATTGTAGTGATGCGACAAACACAACAAAACATCGATGTTGCAAATGATCGACGTTCGAAACAAAAATATCGATGTAATAATGTAAAGTATCGATATAATACATCAATCAAAAACCATTGACGTTTTGTAACATCGATGATTTAAAACTAGTTTAGAAATCTCCAACACTAAATTCGGGCGCAATAAACTTTAATTTGACAGTGGACGTCCATATTAGTTTATGATCAAAATTTAAATAAAATAAACTTATAAAACGCATCTCCGTGTACGAATACGACGAAAGGCGTCCATACGACGTCCATACGACGAAAGGCGAAGAAAATACCAGTACATCGGGCGAAGGATAGTGTGCTCGATTAAAGCAGTACACAGTTCGGCAGTTATTATTTCATATTTTAACTTTTTCAAAATTCTGATTATGAAAATTTTCATAAACACAACACCGAAAAGAAAAACATCGAGCTCTCAACATCGATGTTAAAAAAATAAAGGACTCAATACATCGATATTTTTAGAGAAACATCGATGTTTTTAAAACATCGACATCGATGTCGCAGATGTCCATTGCAGATTCATTCAGTTCCAATCCCACGTGCTCAATGACCCGAACCATTTCACGCGGAAGCTCCGCCTCACCTGGAACAGAGCGTCGCCGCGCCCCTCCACCAGCAGCCGCATGAGCCCCGAGTACGAGAGCGCGTATCTCGTGGCGGCGTGCCGCGATGCGCCTCCTCTCGGTGCGGCGACAGCGGCCGGCAGCCCCAACGTGGCGCGCCGCCAGCGCGGCCACCGCCCTGCTCACGCCGCGCCCCACCCAGCCGCCCGTCCCGCACCGCCGCGACCTCCCGCCGCGTGTGACGTGTACGGGAGCACAGACGAGCGCGTGGTGGCGCCAAGCGCGGGGCGGCGGCGGGCGCGGCCGCGCGCGTGGCGGGACCGGGCAACCCGCCCGGCGCGGCGGGCGTGGCGGGCGAACGGCCGGGCCAGGGCGAGGAGCGCCCGCTGGCGGCGGCAGAGGCGGGCGCGGGACAGCGGCGCCAGCGCGCGGAAAGGCGCCCCATCGCGCCAGGGCGCGCTGCGCTCCCAGACCTGCTCCCAGCACACACACACTCGTTGTACGATTCCGGGCACGTCAACTCCTCCGGTCATTACTGCTGTTAGTGTAGTGAATGTGCAATTACCGGGAGATGGGAGTGCGGCTGGAATTCTCCTCCAGACAGCGGCTGGATTCGACCTAATTATGCAACCTGTTGTAGCCAAAGCACACACACCGCGCTCGTCTTTCTGATTGATTGATTTAATTTATTAGCGATTCCGGGGGCGTTAACTGCTTTCATTAGTCCCGTAATGTTTTGTAGCGGTAGGTGATGGAGATTTTCCCCGTTGGATGGCAATATCCGGCGCAAACCTTGGGGAGTCTTGGGGAGTTTCCCCCACCAGCTATCTCCCAGCAACAAAGCACCAACTTAGCTGTGGCAAACACCCACCTCCCGTCCGATATGTGTGGTAGTGTAGTGCATGTAAGTGTAAGTGTGTGTAAGTAAGGGATTAGGATACGACAAGGAAGGAGAAGGAAAGATCTTGAGCGGTATGTGGCCTGTTTCGTAGTGAACTGCTCCGGCATTCTCATGGTGTTAATCGGAGAAACGACGGCAAGCTACCGAACAGAGCAGCCGGCCGCTAGAATTCTCCTGCAGACACCGGCTGAATACGACTCAGCTATCTAGTTAGCGTCGAAAAACATGGTGATCGTCGGTGCTTAAATCCTAGGACCTTCCCGCAGAGGCACTGTAGTGACATCAGTTGATGATGATCCGACTTAAAGTGGCTGCAGGCTTTATCTATATCTTACAGGAGATGTAGCGCAACGTAGAAGGGAGGCGCATTCATTACGTTACTCGTGTTTCCAGACGCATCAACTGTTATGGTGATTAATCCCATTAGTGTCAAAGATCACAAGAGAAAGTGATGAGCCTTCCTCTCAAGATCGTATGGTCTGGCGCCGACCTACACTTGGGCTCGCTGGAATTCCCTGGTAACTCTGATAGCGGGACGCCGCCCAACCGTGACAAGCTCAATGATCCCGTCTGGTCTTCCGACATGTATGCTAGTAAAGGGCATGGAAGAGTAAATGTTTGAGGCTATATGTTTGTAAGGCGGAGAGGAGGGGACGATGATAATGAAAAGATCACGCGTGGTCCGTGGCACGTTTTGAAGGTACTGCTCAAATATTCGCATGGTATTGGTTGGCAAAACAACAGAAAACTATTCATCAGAGCAGCGAGTCGCTAGAGTTCACCTGCAGACAGCGGATGAATTCGGCCAAGCTAAGTTGCTTATGTCAAAAATCCGCTCACTTCAGAACTCGAGCCCCAGCACTTCCCGGTCAGAGACGCTGCAGAAGCGGCTATTGATGACCTGAACCATCTCAGCCGGGTGGCAGAAGGTTAATGGAGCATCAGCCCTACCCCCGTCCCCAGATGCCGATGAAACGTATTCACAGATCTAGTTTTTACTGTTTTTCTAGTAACAAATGCCACCCAATATCCCAGATGAATATGTCAAAAATAGCTATAATACTACAAATAAAACTAAATTTTAAATACAGCTCAAATGGAATTTTTCTTTTAAAAAAAAGTCAGCTAGACACTACACTTAGAGCTTCACCAAATTGAGAATAAAGCCCATTTGATGGATCGATTTACATGATGTTCTTTTAAATTTCCCTGAAATATTCATTTTTGATTCGTATCTAAAATAGTTTAAACTATTTTAGCCAAGGAGGCTAGCGGGCGTTGGGGCACCTTGTTGTAGATTCGCGCATCCCAAGCATACCTGGAAGCTGAGTAGAGAGTAAGTACGAAAGGAACAGGTAAAGTAGATTTAGTATCTTTGTTTTTTAAGCACACGCCCGAAGATACAGTTTTTACCTCCAGGACACACACAAAGAACGAATATTACAAGCTACTACAACATTTTAGAATGAGATGATCGATGAGAATGACTTTCGCCAATAACCATGTAAGAAATACGAGTATATCAAGAAGTTACAAATGATATTTTTGACTGTTTAGTAGGCCACTCTTTTTGCATTCGTGTTAGGGAGGTTCGCGAAATCTCATTACCGAACATTAGGGCACGATAAATTGTCTACTGATCAGGGACAAATGACATGTGAGCAACTTAGTTATTTGTTATTTCCTACCACATGTTCCATTAACAGAAAATTATAATCTCTGACACCCTACATTTCCTAGAAATTTGTAACATTTATTCTGAGACACCCTGCAATATTATTTTTCTCTAAACCTAGAGTTATGACTTCAATTTTTTGTTTCATTGTTCGCTGAAGGTCTTTATTTCTTACTCCACACAAAGACATGCGCGAATGCGACGAACTAAAGACAGCGAACTGGTGTAAACACACAGAAGAGATCCGATCGGCACCGGCAAACATAAAGTGAACAAGTAATACCTGAATCTTGAAGTTGTGTAGGAATGGAATTAAGTAAATATTCGTAATGGATAATGTGTATATACATATATATATATATATATATATATATATATATATATATAATGAATAACAGAGACATATTCTGGCCAATTGTTTATTTATTAGCATATGGTTAGACAAAACTTAGTTAAAGTTTATACGAAGTATAATCTATTTCCCCTACCATTCCAATTAAATAAACAAGAAATGTATGGAGCGTTCTCAGTGAAATAATAAGAAGCTGCAATGTTCCAACAGAGGCGAATTTTTCCGTAGTCTCTAACCCCCAAAGGCACCGCCTCCCACGTCCCCGAAACACATCCTCCACAGCAAAATCTCCACTAGGTGCATATAAGCGATTCCCACAGCCCGGCACTTTTTTATTGGTATTTCTTCTCGATGGAGTTGGAGACGTGACACCACTGCCTTCGGCAGGGCTGCAGAGTTTTATTCAGTAAACTTTGTGTTTCTCTGCTGTTTGTTGGCCAATGCCCACCCTTCATATGTTAGCCATTTGGTGACGCGCCGACCAGTATAGTAGCGCAGACTTTCCCCTCAACTTGTAGAGATCCGCGCGCCCACAGTGGTCAAGCGCGTTGATGGCGAATCATTGTTGCTCTATTTACGGTTACCAAGGGGACACGTGTGGTAGACCACGGACGCGAGCAACTTTTGTCCCTGCCGTGAATTATATTATTATTATTATTATTATTATTATTATTATTGGATTAGGAGGTAATAGGATATTGGTGAAAGGTTATCGTGGACTTTTTTGAATTATCCCATTATTCGCACTTATGACCGAGGGAAACCACGAAAACCCCGGTCAGAATGCCCGGCCCGGGAATCGAACCCGGACCTCCCGATTGCGAATCCAGCGTGATACCCACTTTGGAAATCCGCTAGCTTGTGTTTCTCTACTACCGTCGGCAAGTCTGCTATTTCCGAGCAGATGGACTATCAATCCCTATTCTTACTATAAGCCTTTGTGAGGTACTGCTGTCGACGGTGGCTCCTCGAACGGCAGTAGGCAGTGCATTTATGCCATTCGAGGGACAATTTTGTATGCCGATCCTACATCGTGAGGCATTAGTTTCCGGCCAACCAAGGCGAGCCACGTTAAACGCTGCCGTCCAGGTGCTGCTGGTTGTGTGCACGTGTCCCTTTCTGTGGTCCAATTCAGTGCTGCATTCGCGCCCATCCATCCGTGGGCCCTGTGGGAGCGCGCATTTCAACACTGGCCCTGCTGGGCAACGCCGAAGTCACATCACCTGACATCGCCGGCAAATGTAAGGTAACAGGTTCACTTTTGCTATTCGTGCTGTGACATGTGAAGGTGAGTGTAAGGATCTGAGTGGCAATTGGCAGAATACAATTTGCGTGATACACAACGCCTTCATCGAAGTTGGTTCATTTCATTTGCAAGACATTTGGAACAATTACTTCAATATTTGCAACAATTCATTCAGCACTCAGTAATTTAATCCTTTAAACCTGTATGTTAATAGTCAATGAATAAAAAGTACGTGCAATGTAAATAATCACAATTTCAGTGGCTTCAGGCAAGCTCCTCTTTCTCCCTTAACTAGTGCCATAACCCCCCCCCCCCGGGCAGCTCATAGCCAGGCGCGACGTAAGCTTTCCTTCATGCAGGCAAAGAACCTGGTTAGTCCGCTAAAGCAACCTCCGCCCTTTCAAGATACTCTCCCTTTCTCTGTATATACTGTGTTGGGACATTTCGTGCAAGCAGCGACAATAAATTTTAAATAATAAGGATCATTACTTCTACTTAACAATATATCATACATAGGAATAATATACTGTAGTTATTGACGAAGAATATAATGAAGATTATGAAAATTATGAAGATGAAAATAAAGTTTTAAACGTCAATAAACATTGCAAATCGATCCGGATAGTCGAAATCAGTAAGACAGTAGTGTCGTGGCGATCTCGGATCGAAGGATGTATTTGGCATGGATGGATGTATTTTGTATGGCATGGATGTATTTGTAATCGTCCTTTCACCCTTCATCATCATCCTATCAATTCGTTAAAGATGGATTAATAATTCCCAGCGCGAGTAGGACGCCCTTGTCTTTAATGGGGTGTGCAGTTGGCTAATAAAAAAATTGCAAACCGCATGTGACATTTAGCAAACAGTAAACCTAGACGAATAAGAAAATAAATAAGTTAAATACATTAAATAAACAAAGCTTCTAGGAGCAAACAAGAAGCCAACACAGTATTTGTTCTAAGTATCGCTGAGAGACGGAATGAAAACCCTTCAATAAGTCGGAAAAGTCAGATGTGATCGCAGTTTTGTTTCCTTTTTATAACAAGTTTTGAGTAGCCATTGATGATACTTAATACATCGATACTCTATATCTATATATCGAAAAAAATTATGTTTTTGAATACTGATGTTGATAACGCTATACAGAATATTTCACAATATAAAGAAAATTCACTATGAGGTTTCATAAATTTATCCGTATTTGAAAAATTTGTTGTTTTTTTCACATCAAATACAATTTAGCACACATAAAAGCTCGTGAAACGTCT